GGATGAAGGTGGGAAGATGTTCCCATCATTTTTGACTTACCCTCCTGAAGAGACTTGTCCCGCACAAGTCCAAACCGGTAGAGGGATTGCGTGGTTTTGTGTGGTGTTTTTGGCGAAGTTAAGCTTTGTCCTCCACTTTGAGCAGTTCGTGTTCTGTTCGTTCACCCTTGATTTCTTCTTCTTCTTCTTCTTCCTCTTCTTCAGTAATTTGGACCGTTTCTCAAGTTATGCATGCCACCCTTGCCCTGGGGGCATGCTACTTTATCCTTCCAATTATTATGGACGTCGCAAAGAACTCCGCTCTCTTTCTTTTGAAAAAAAACTGCCGTCTGTATGATGGCAAGGAGAAGATCGAGGCGTTGAGTTGTCAACAGCTGTGTGTGATGTATCCAAGAGAATAGTATAATACATGATATTAGAAACTGACCCTACCTTAATTAAAAAAAAAAAAAAAAAAAAAAAAAAAAAAACACGAAAAAAAGAAACTGAGCCTACAGAGTGTTCAGAGTGTTCAGAGTCGTTCAGACTGAGTTACAGAAGAACTTTTCAACAGCCGTGTTTGTACCTGACATTGCCGAATCGTAAAAACTGAGTTACCGTGAGTTCACAAGAGCTACAGAGGGTTGAAACCGGACAGTGGACACTGACTCCTTTACTCAAGCTGTGTGCATCTCGCACATTGCCTGATTGGAGAAAGTGAGTTCATGAGTGTTAGACTTGAGCCGCAGAAACATAGTAGTGCTCGGACAGAGTACAGATTCTACAAAACATACGGTCTCCCCTCCCCCCCCGAAAACAGAGCCTGGCGGCTCCGGCTCCATTCCATTCTGGGGAGCATCGGTCCGGTTCCTTTCTTCTTCTTCGTTTTAAACCACCAGTACTTCCTAAAGTCGTGCCTGACACCCGTTAACAAGCCACGATTTAGGAAAGGTACGGGCCACTACAGGAGCGCCCAAATTCATCCGACTAGAAACGTTTCTACTCTATTTTTTTCCGCGGCCCATAGCTGGGCCAAGTACTGGTGGTTTAATAAAAAAATGGACCATTTCTCGATTTATGCGCGTCATCCTTGCGCAGGGACCATGCAAATCTTATCTCCCTGTATCATTCCAATTATAATGGGTGTCAGTCTGGACTGTCTGGTTCATGTTCCACCGGCAAGTCTTAAAAATGCACATTAATACGCACCCACGCTCCTCCCCATTATGGCTAAAAGGCCCGAGAAGACGTCCTGAAATTTAGTGCGTGCTTCTTCGTCTTCTTCCTTCTTCTCCCTTTCTTTTTTTTTGAAAGAGGCAACGACCTTTAGGAATCAACATTGAACTGACCGGCCCTTGGTAATTCACAAATACCTCATTTTTTCAATTTTTTTGTTAATCTGACTGCATCTGGATTCTAACTTGTCTGATTCATTTTTCAACAGTTCTTGGGTGTTGTACCAACTGCTCTAGGCCCGTTGTTGAGACTTCGTACTTAGTACTTTTCCTTTTTTCTTCCCTTTTTTCTAACCTATATTCTTCTCTCACTATTCCTCCCACTACCTACCTATATACTCTACTAGCTTCGCAGGCGACGCTGGTGTTCTGGGTTGGATTCCCTGCCTCCAGATTTTTTCCCTCAGCATATCCCTTGGGCATTTCTATGCCGGGAACAGTACCCAGCCTCCTAACACTTGGCACAACCTGGAAAGCGGACACATGCTTCCACAACCAGCCAGGAGGGACAAGCCGACTATTCCGACCTTTTACGACTCCGAAATTTCCTTGCATGTCGATGGAAAAGAAGATGCCTGTTGAGGGAATGCCAAAACCAACTGGCCTTGCTCAGTTGGTACACAGCACTACACACATGACCTGTTCTTTTTTTTCTTTTTCTTTTTTTTTCTTTTTTCTTTTTTTTTTAACACATGAACTGCTCAAGTACAGACCTGAGTTCGAATTTCAATTCAATGGAAGCAGAGATGGGTGAAAATAATGCAAGGATCAGGGTCCTCGGTAGGCCTATGGGGCCCTGTTTGCAGCCTTACCCGCCCTAAGTGAAGGCGGAGGTGCCCGCCCTAAGTGAAGGCAGGCCTGGCTTTTTGCAAGAAGCCCTCGACTGTCAATTTCATATTTGGGGTCCAGGCAGTTGCGACGTGCCAGTTGGTTGAGCGAAACACAGGCCGAGCAACAAAGACATTTCCACGGCCCTCCGGGCCTTTCCAAAAGAATGCAGGCCCTGGGCGTGATTCACAGCCTCATACAGAGACAGTTGGGCGCCCAACCGAACGAGGCCCAGCAGCCCAGTAGCTGCTGTACACAGGCGGCCTCCTGGGGCCTTCCGGAAGCTTCTGGGCCCAGGCCAGTGCAGCCAGGCTGCGAGAGCAGGCCAACTCTTTCCATAAAGGAAAGAGCTCGGCCCAGGCTGCCTCATTCAGGCACTCGCATGCTGGCGGCAGCGCTGCTGGAGCTCATGCTCGTAGGCTGCTGCTAGCGCTGAGAGGCGAGGTGCAGCACGTGCGGTTGTGCAGAGGAGGAGGGCGCTGCTGAGGGCAGCGCCATAGCCCAGCCACCATATCTGGTGGGCTTGGACTACAGTGAAGCGCAGGGGTGGTCTTCGGGTGAAAGAGAGGACAGGTGTGGGTGTAGTCAGGGGATAGGTGAAGGA